TAACCTCTGTCAAGTTTCAATTTACCGTATTCATAGATCTGAAAAGCAATTTTGGAAAATTATTCATGTATTCATATAAGGCAAGAAGACCCTTCAGACTTGATATTAAACAAGTCCTTTGAAATTAAAGGACTAGACAAAAAGGTAAAGGTGGGAGAAGCAGCAAGTGAAAGGGTTTTGGGAAAAAGTGAGAAGGGAGACTAACAAAGATTAACGTCTAATAAAAGCTGTCTATATCTATTCGTGGTTTTGTATTCTGCTTCTTCTAAGTTACCCGCTGAGCCCGGAGCCAATCGCCTCATACTGGCTCATCTTTTCTTCTCTACTCTCAATTGGTTTTTGACTGCATTGCAGAAATTGCAAATAATCTTAATTGGAAATATTTATATGAATGTAGACTGCTGGACTCAAGATTCCTAGAATGAGTTTATAAATAAATGAATGATTCATAGAACAGAAGAGGGAACATGCTCATTTGAGCAACTGTGTTGCCAGAGACAGAAAGCAGTATTTAATTTCTGGGCTTATATTAGAAATTAGGATCAGCCAGGATCAGAGAAATGCTTCGGGTTTTTTCAGGGTTTTTTTGTTTGTTTGTTTAAATAGAAGTTTATGATCTGACATTTATTTTAGTATTTTAAAGTAATAAAGGAAAATAAATACTGTAAGAATTTGATATGTTCTACACAGGGGACAAGAGTATTGTATATGCATTACCCACTAGGTTGTTTGCAAGACGCTGCCTACTTGCTCATTTGATAGCTTGCTTTTTAGTTTAATTTGCTTTGTGCTGGGCAAGTCATGTAAAATTTTTCCCAAAATCATTTCTTTTCACTTCACTGATGATCCCTGCCATCCATTGTTTTGTTTACGTATTTCTTCACTCTCTGGGAGACAGATTTTCTATTTGTGTTTGTGCAGCAACTTGTGCAGTACATACATGATGATTCAGTTGTGACCTCTAAGTTCTGTTATGCAACTATCATCACGTGCTTTCTTTTAACATAAATAATAGTTGTCTTATGGAGATTTTACGCCAATAAAAAAATTGATTGGAGAGCACGTGTGAATGCCATGATGGAAAAAAGTTGCGGAGCTGTGTAGTATTGGTGTGCATCATTTTGCTGCAAACATCAGTTTTGGTATTGAAAAAGATAGGTGTGTGATTCGTTGACTTTCTCTGTATGTTATCCATTACTTTAAAGAATCATTTAGAAAGTAATTTTCATGAGCTTTCATATCAAGTCACTGACAGGGAGTTATATATCACCAGTTTAATTCTATGCTTCCATTATTTGTTCTTTCATTGAAGTCATAATGACAAAAGTTACAGCTTGTATTTATCTTGTGTATTGTTATAATAGTTTCAATATAAAAGTAATGCAGAAAAGTGTCCTCTCTTTCACAACAGCAGTTTTGTTCCTAATACTATGGATCGATGTGAAATTAATATTTCATTTCATTTTCTGTAACTGATTGTATCTTTGTCCTAATCTGAACAAAGGTATTTTGCTTTTGTGAACTTTTGAGTTTCCTTAATAGAGAAACTATTTCAATTTTGTGTAGAGATGGGAGTATTGAGCATCTGCTGTAATAGTGAAGTTTGGTGAAGACTTAAAATAGATTGAGAGCAAAGAGAAGTAGTTGTATAGGAGTAATAACTGTCAGTGAAAGACCCTAGCGACTGGCTGTAGTTATGTTGTCTTTTATCAAAATAAAAAGTTTATTTCTTTTCACCTGGTAGAATACCATATGGTAAGTTTCCATTACTGTAAAATGGAATGCTTTTTCTAATCACCATATTCATAAAAGACGATATGCAACAAGGACTTGGCTTATAACCAGCTTATGAAAGTGTATTTGAAGCATTTGAGCATGATGGGTAAAAGTCATCATTTGCCATGATAATGTGGAGACAACCATCTGGTGGCATAGTTCCTAAAGTGGTATAACGCCCTTCCCGAGCCATTAGATTTGTTATAGTGAGTTCTGGTCACCTAAGGCAACAATTTATCACATGCAGATTGTTTCTGTTCTGTTTTAGTCAATAGGGGGAAAAAAGAGAACTACTTATTTGCATAATTACAAGCAACTGAGATCCGACATTTGACCAAATTACTTTCATAAGAAAAAGAAGTAAAAACTGTTTAATCTATTGTAGAAAATTGGATGCTTATGATTTCATCATGCTTGGTATTTTACCTGTAATGCTGTATGCTCAGTAAACACTCTGCTAAATCATAGAATCATAGAATGGTTTGGATTGGAAGGGACCTCAGAGATCATCTAGTTCCAACCCCCCTGCCGTGGGCAGGGACACCTTCCACTACACCAGGTTGCTCAAAGCCCCATCCAACCTGGCCTTGAACACTTCCAAGGATGGGACATCCACAACTTCTCTGGGCAACCTCTTCCAGTGCCTCACCACCCTCAGATGGAAGAATTTCTTCCATAGATCTAATGTAAATCTCCCCTCTTTCAGTTTAAAGCCATTTCCCCTAGCATTATTTTGTAGATAGATGGAAAACTTAGGTTTACAGTTTCGTATGTTAACATAAACAGTAGAAACTCTCAAAAGCAAAAATAGTTGGGTGATGACATTACATTGTTAACTCTTCCTGGTTTGCTTTGATAATGGGCCAAAAAATGTTTGTTTGAAGCTTGATTAAACTAGAACAGCTGTCTTAGAGAAGATACACTTTTTTTTTAATATAGTATGCCACTACAATATATGTTAAGTATTAAGATCTCCGTGTTGTTCATAAGCACTTAAAAAAATCCCAGCACTTAATGAAAGAGTACACTATGGTTTTACTTGTGCACTATGGTTTTAGTTGTGTCCTGAAAGCCAGGACACCAGGGCTTTGTAAGACAACAGGGAACCAGTATTTAAAGCTGAAACTTGTCAGAGACCTCAGTCTTGCAGATTTTTGGACTACACATACAATTTACATTTGAATCTGAAGGATATGTAATGGAGTAGGCATTAAAAATAGTCCTTAAGGAACTCTGTGAACAGTATTTACAGGGCAAAAGCATTAGTTCAGAATTATTTAAAACACGTGCTAGGCTTTGTTTTTGATGGGTCTAAAGCAGAACATAAGTCATAGACACCTGCAGACTTGAAAAAAAATGTAAAGTGGAAACCAGGACTGTTCTCCACTGGTGCTGCTTAACTTGAATTTCAACCGGAGTCATGACTGTGGGAAGGATTCTGCACTGGCTTAAGCATCCCCTGGGTTTGCAGTATTTTTTTGTGGCCAAGCAAAACAATGGGGTGGGATTGGTCACACTTAGTGTGTTGTCATTCCTTGAAAACACTTCTCCCTTTCTAATGCATGTGCTACTTCTAGAATGGCTTTTGTTAGCAGAGCGAGCACAAGCTCTCACCTGGTAAATTAGGTATTATTTCTCAATTTATGTTCTCTCTGTTGTAGTCTGACTGTCTCCATTAATGTCTAGCTCCTGAGAGATGAAACCAGGACTTCTTACGTGGACCTAATTGCAGAAACGAGGCAGTATCTGAGACTAATGCAGAGAGTTTTCTGTTCCTGCTCTTTCCAATTGGTCTGTGGTAGCGGTTCCC